AATCCAATTCTTGTGATTCTCGTGACGGAAAATCGTTACTTTAATAATACTTTAGTATAACAAGATGATCTACAAAAATTAGCCAATCACAATAAAAGTTCGCTATGCTATATGTGTCGGTATGATATTCGCCATCAGCTTTTCCTGTTGATTTTATTCTTATATTTATATAAATATAAATTTAGGTGATATTTTTATTTGTAACAATAAAAAAACATGAGATTTTAATGCTACTTACTGCTCATAATACGTAATTGTAGGACAAATAGGATAAGTTTCAGAGATTGGTTTTCCAAATACTATATAATATTATTTTGTCTAATTAAATTTTCAAAACTTTCAAATCATTTCTTTCATTAAAAACATTTGAGGTTGAATCAATAGAAATCAAGCAAATATATTTTTATTTAAACTTCAAAGACCGAATTTAATAAAAAATTTTTTAACCTAACTTGGCAAGTCAAGTTTATAGTATTTATTTTAAAAGGCTTTATTAAAAAATTTGGGTAAGTTTTTGTCAAGTTACTATTACTTAAGGTCATAAAAAAATTTTATTATAAAAAATTTGCTTGCTTCTAATGATTCACCCCTATTTATTTATGAAATAATGACTAACCAGATGGATGGTTCTCTCTTACGATTGGTACAAATGCTATATGAATTAATGTCATTAAATATATAACAAATAATAATAATAATAATAATAAAATGCAATTAAAATATTTGCCTTTATTATATATGAAAATTAGATCTGGACCACAGTAAATAGCGAAAGGAAATCTTGAATCTAGGCAGAAATCCTAAAGAATTCATTCATGCTTGACTATTCATGTAAACTCTCGTGCATTAAAGTTAAGCAGTCTTAAGCAAAGGTTCCCAAGTGTCCATAGGACCGAGAGATGTCAATGCAAATCATAATTATAGGCCATTTCTTTTATGTCTATTTCATATTCCATATTATTATTTGTATTGGTTAGGGTAGAGACAGAATTAATCTTTTCTAAGGTGGAAATTTGTAAAATATAGATCAAGTATGTTCTATAATAAAATTTGAGTGCTTCCAAGCAAAAACCAGGAATTGAGAGTTTTCCGAAAATAATTTTACAGATCAAACACAATTTAACACACTATATAATTTATGTTGTGCTTAATTTAAATTTATCAGGAATTGGATCAGAAAGCTGAGCCGGCAAAAATCGAAATTGCTGGTTTTCGCTTGGCAGCAGAGATGTCACGTTACAATGTCCAATTTCAATTGGACATATGTCCAAAAAAAATTGAAACCAATTGGACATTGTAATATGACATCTCTGCTTGGCAGCACTCATTTATTAAAACTGTGTGACACTAGATAATTTATTGTTTATTACATAAGATTAGAATGAACACAAGGATCATTAGGGGATTTCAGAATTAACTTTTTTTCAAAATAAGTGGGAGTTTAAAAGGACCTATTTTCTTTTTTTGAATCCCGAATCAGAAAATTAAATAGACATAAAATTAGCTTTTTTTTTTGATAAACATTCATTGATAAACGATTATACATACTTTTAAAAAAATAGAATTCGTACGTTTATTTTGAAATAAATACGTCACTTATTTTCAGTGTTGGGCAATTTTGATGTCCAATTGACTTTGAAAACAATTGGACTTAATAGCCTGCCAAACACTGCTTATTTTATCAGAAATCGGACGCCGAATCATCAATTCTGAACCCCCTATTGGTATATTACATAATTAAATTATTAGGTAAATGCAGAAATCCAATATGTATTTCGATTAAATTATTACGTAAATGCAGAAACCCAATATGTATTTCGATTAAATTTCAAATTATAAACGTCTCTTCGTTTTAATTTTTTGTTACATTTATCTTAGATAATCTGCTGCTAACTCCAATAAGCAAAATGGTATATTAAAAATCGCATTCACTTATTTCTAAAAAGGAAATGGCCGATCGGAGGGCACAAATTTCGGGTATTCCAAATTAGCCCGACATAGAATCCGAACACGTGCGAAAGAAGAAAAATGAAAAGAAAGTGAAAATACTCAAACTTCGACCTTTGTTGACTAATAAAAAATAGCGAAAATGAAACTTTACATATAAGAAACTCCAATTTATCGCTAAACTTCACAACCCTAACGTCCTAATCCTAAACTTCTATTTTTACGCACTTAGTTTATTTAAAAATTTTGATTTCCTTTTTTGGCGCAAATAATTATTTACTAATCTTCTATCTATCTTCTATATTTATTATTATTTTTATTTTTTTTATACTTTAATTTTGGGTTCGTGCGCTTTAACGTTTTTGATTGGCCTAATCCAAAAATGTGATCTGAGCGTGGGAAAACCTTCGAATTCGAGTACTGTAACTATCGTTACACCTCGGCGCGTTATTTCGCGACTATACGGTATTTAAATGGAAAAGATGCATTTTTTTTTTTTTGAATAAATACAGTATTTTATTATGCTTATGCATAACTTCTCTTTATCGATAAGAATAATTTTTTTTCTTTTGCTATAAAACGTGGTGATGCGAACTGTAAATTATAATGTAAAATAGGCTAGCAACATAGAAATATAATTTGTGGCAATAAATATTTTAACATCGATTACATCTTCAATGGTAATAGCTAGATTATCAATTATTCTTCGATAAATTTCTTCAGAAATTAGAACCACTTTAGGTGCACCCAAATTTTCAGTATCATTAGTGCCATCACTTAAGAAAACTGTTGCTGAGTGCGATAGTTCATTGAAAAATATTTCTCTAACTTCCCCTTTAGTAGCTTCCCATATATGATTTAATGAACTTCTGATAATTTCTTTTTTATTTTTTAGTTTTGACCATAATTCTTTTTAACTATGCTATTGCAAAAAAGAAAAACAAAGAAAAAAAACAAAGAGTTAAATATATAGGTTGTAATTTCCGAATAAATTGCTCTGAGAAGAATCTTTGGACACTTACCACTTACATAAATTTGCACTTACCAAATTACTCAGATATATGAACATATGTACGATGTTTGAATAATTGATAAGTGCAAATTCATGTGAATGATAAGTGTCCAGAAACTCCTTTTGTTCCAATCTATCAGAAGAGATACGCGTGATCGAACTGGTCCTGCACATCATCACATATCGCACAGTTATCTTATTAATAGTATTTAGTATTATTGTAATAATCTGATGTATTGATTTATGTTAATAAATAGAACCCTATAACCTGTAATTATATATGTCTGTTTATTGATTTAAACTATTTAAACTTAATCACTATTTGTTCGCGATAGAAGCTAAATTGGTCCAAGACCCTATAAGCTCTCCCACTCGACCGTAACAAAGACCTAATTAGTAAAAAAAATTTTAAATAATCCCCAGATTGGCCAGATTAGATCCAAATCCAGGGATTGGATTAATTTTGGTTCAATCCGGTTTAATCTGAGTTTTTAAACCCGGATCGGAACACTAGTTAAAATAATTAAAAAAAAAGAAAAGTGATTCACTCTAGACATATAAAAACATACAAGTTTATTCTTTACTATTGAAATATATATAAAAAGGGATAAATAATTTGATCACTATTCTGATCATTATTCTGATCACTAAATTCAAAAAAACCTCAATAACTAATTTCTATATGGTACTACATATTGGTTTGATTTAATTAGTTGACCGAGTACTCCATGTGAAATGAGCAATTTTAATACAATGATGATAGATTTGTGCTGATTTAGTGGACCATTGCATGAATTTAATACTTTATTTAAAAAATAATAAAATTATTATACCTAATAACATATCAAACATTATATAACTACTGATATACATTTTGTTAACAAAATTGATTAGATAGAATTTTTAGTTTATTGTCAAATTGATCTATTCTTTTACTTGTTTTGCTGTTATTTTTTTTTATTTCTGCTAAAGTTATGCTATTTTTAATTATTAATTTATTTAAATATTCTATGCTCTTAATAACTTTATTTAGATCTTTAGAACTTTCTAAATTTTGTATAAATTTTATAATATCCTCACAGATGTTTTTATAATTAGTAAATAATATTTTGTATGGGGAACTATGAGCTCTTAATCTAGCTGGCTCAGTATAGCCACCTGTTTTTGCAACTACAAAAACTTCAAATAAAATTTGAGGATACCTAATAAGTGATAAGATTAGTTTGTACTAATAAGTTAATTCAATATAAATAAATATTTAAGTGCAGTTTATTATATAACATTAATTTAACTTGTTATATAACATTATTTTTACATATAAAGAAAATATATAAAATTATAATTTTTTTTATTTTATTTTTTAAAATAAATTATTACCATGACATTGCATCCTCGAACTTCATTATATCACCTCTTACAGTGTTACCATGATTTGCATTATCTTTATCATAGTTTTTGCATTGTACTAAAAAGATATAACCTTTATATAAAACAATTATATTGATTCTATTGTTTCCTTGATTTGTTTTTCTATAAAAAAAAAAAATTTATGAATAATTTTTAATGGTAAATTACTGAAGGTCAGGTATGGGTTATTTAACCATACATCCTATTCACTACAATCTTATAACTTTCAAATGATAAGTGACTAAAGAAGGAGGTTCACCACTCACTTATCCTGACCAAAAACCTTAGATGGTAGCCTGATGTGCTTCCAGTTCTTTGCTACTCTACCATTCTAGTGGCAGCATAACTTTAGATACATAATGATCAAATATTTAGTAAAAAAATAAATTCTTACTTTGATTTGTTTACTCCCATATCTAGCAAAATCAGTTTATAGCACATTTTGTCTTCAAACTCATTTCCTTTAAAAACATATAATTTGATATCAGTAGAATTGGTCACTTTAAACATTGTAATTAATAAAAGTAAGGAGTTAAAAAATAAATATTACATATCTAAACTTTTTTAAATATATAGTATAAGAAAAAAAAGCAAAGAACTTGTGAGAAAAATTCTTGAGAAAATAGATTTACCAACATAAAAAATTGTTAATCAGATCCAAAAAAGTTTCAAAGCTGCATGACAAGAGATCTACATGAGATTACATTTCACAACATAACAAAATCAAGTATAATTCTAGGGCAAATTTTTCAAGCAAAATTAATTATAATTATGGGCAAAATTAGAGATAACTCAAAGCAAAATTAGGCCACTCCAAATTGATTCTTTGTTTAACATAACATAAATATTTTTGCAAGAGGGGGGTAAAAAAAAATCAACAACAACCCTAAAAAAACAGCAATTCTATTGGCTGAACAAAATATAAAGCCAATACTGCAATTTAATTGGTTAAATAGTGTTTATTTTATATCTAAAATTTTAAAAAATAGAGGGGAGGTTATGTTAAACAAAGAATCAAATTGGCGTGGCCTTAATATAATTTAAAGTAAAATTAAAGGCACAGCTAGCGCACTAGTGATGTACCGCGTACTGTACTATATGTACTGTACACTAAAAAAATCCGAGTATTATATAAATGGCACACATCACTAGTCATGACCCGTTCGAATTTTTGATCTTTTTTTGGAGCATCACACAAACAAAAAAATAAAATTTACACGATTTCAATATCAGATATGATTGTAATTAGGCTTTATATTAATTGAAACATGTAATTCTAAAGCTTGAAAAATTTATCTTACATGAGATTTCGTAAATTTTAAGTAATTTTCTTGGTTCCGTTGGGGATGAAGCAATTGCATATGCACTTTCTGAGAATGATAGTCTAGCCTATTTGGATCTTTCATTTAATAGGATTGGTGTTGATGGAGGAAAAGCATTAGCAAATGCGCTTTGTAAAGATAATTACGTTAAAGCTTCAATTATCGCTGTTTACAAATTGATGTGACTTTTGATAAAATTTGTAGATTACTGCATGCCTGATTGTTCGATTGCAATCGATTGTATGTGATTGTACATGATTGTATGAGAATGTGTATGTGATTTATCAGTGAATTTTTTTTTATTTGAATTTTATGAATCCATAGAATTCAAATAAAAAAAAATTTTCGCTCAAAGCTTTTAAAAATATCATCTAAGCAGCACCAAATTTTTCCTAAAACTTTGGATGAAGGTATCTCAACAATTATCTAATCAAATTCTATGAAATTTTTTTATTTGAATTTTATAAATCTATAGAATTCAAATAAAAAAATTCATTGAATTTGATTAGGTGGGTGCTGAGATATCTTCGCTCAAATTTTTTAAAAAAAGTAAAAAAAAAAACAAATTCACCTATAACACAAGAATGAAAAAATGTAGTAACTCCATGAGTTCTCGTTTATTTGGGCTAAAATTTTACAAAGCAAAATTTTAATTATTACACAGTAATCATTTTAGACTGAACTTCTCAAAATCAAGGTGGGTACTACTAGTGAAATTAAATATACAACAGGGGCATAACTATAGTTGTTAGACGAAATCATGTAATTTTTACCTGTCACTCACAACAAAATACAAAAACCTAAAAATTTAATCTAATTTTTATTAAGTTTCGATATGTGACAATTCCAATAGTATCACATGGTTTCGTCTAACAACTATATTTATAAATGAGATGCGAACTATAAAATATAATTATTTTAAACCTTCTAGTTTATATTACAATTTATATTAACTGTTAGTTTACAATTCATATACTGAATTACAATTACTTTTTACATAATTACATGTATAATATATCTTTTCACCAAAAACAAAATTATGGTTACCGCGACTTTATTAGAAATGATCAGCTGCATGCCGACAAAGAAAGATTGAAGAGGGTTAAATAAACAGAGAATAATTAATGGTATTAAAAAGATAATTACTTGTTTAAGTTCTTCATTATAACTTATTCAATTTGCTATCTGTAAATCTTTAATGCTCAATTCTTTCAATTCACTATCTGTTAATTAAATCATAATTAATAAATATTATAATTAAAATTGAGTTATTATAAATCATTAATTACCTTGATAAAATGACGCAGTAAATTTAATTAATTTGCTTTTATAAATTGCATCAGAATATTTCTGTATATGTATATTTTCATCTTTTAACATTTCTTCTGATTCAGTTAATTCCGATAAAATATTTTTGTCGGTTTGCCATTCTGTAAGAATTTCACAAATTCTTATAGCTGATTGTCGCTTTGTTGGTTCTCTTTCCCAACATTTTTTCATTAAGTTTAAATAGCATTGTGGTGAGTTCTCAATAATTTTTGGCCGTAAATTTTCTTGGCATATTTTAATTTGAAGTTGAGTTCCAAATTCTTGATTATAGCTCACGGATTTTCCATATAAAATTTCCCACATAATTATTCCAAATGAATAAATATCAGATGCTGTTGTATATTGTTCTCCGTCCAAAATTTCTGGTGCTATATATGGTAAAATTCCGTAAACTCCACGTCTTTTCGCATCCAATGGTCTATTAGTTGTTATTGAAAGTCCTAAATCTGCAACATAAGCACTATGTAAATTGTTTTGTAAAATATTACCGCTATACAAATCTCGATGAATGAGTCCTTGAGAATGAATCATTTGAAGATCAGAAGCGATACAATGCAATAAACTTAATTTATCCGTCCATATCATTCGTAACGTAGAGTGAAGATTTTGACGTAAGGATCCATTTCAGCATATTCTAAGACAAGAATATAATCTTCTGAAGATTCATCTTTTGATATTCCATAACACTTTAGAAATGAAGGGTGCTTGGAACTAATATCACAATATGCCTTTAGCTCTATTATTAAAACAATATACGTAAATATTATTAGACACATAAAAAAAGTTTTTTTAAAATAAAGACTACCTTTTTATAAATCCTTCATTACAAGATTTTGATCCATGCAGTAATTTAAGTGCAACACTTCTTCGTATAGATTTTTGTTTATCAAACCAAATAGCGTTAAATACAGTCGCGAATCCACCTTGTCCTATTTTTTTAGAAACTTCAAATTCTTTAAAGGATATCCATGATAGTTGATACCCTTCTTCAACCAATAATTTTTTTATTTCATCATCAACATTAGATTTATCATTTGTCCATCCACTTATGGCTAAAAAAAATTAATTAGTAAATGTAATAAATATATCTTAAATAATTATTATTTTTAAATTACCCAATGTCTTATTTTTTTCCCTGAATATTATTAGAAATTATATATGTTAAAAGGATTAATTTACATGGTCAATAAAAGAACGAAAATAAATAGATTACTTACATTTGGTACCAATAATTAGCTTTCTGTAAATCTCTTGATGTTCCAATCCCATTTCGATAACAATGACCTACTTGTGACATTCCGGGAATATGTCCCATCTCGGCAGATTGTTGATAATAAAATGCCATGTGTTCATCCTTTTCAATTCCTGTTCCATGTCGATAACAATTTCCAAGATTATAAATTGCAGCAGCATTTCGCATATCGACAGACCTTTGATATTGAATGATTGCCTTATGTTCATCCTTTTCAATCCCTATTCCACATTGATAACAATATCCAAGGTTATTTGTTGCATTGGAATTTCCCATCTCAGCAGACATTTGATAATGAATGAATGCTTTATGCTCATCCTTTTCAATTCCTATTCCATAGAAATAACAGTCTGCGAGATTATAAATTGCACTAGCATTTCTCATCTCAGCAGATTTTTGATAATGAATGAATGCCTTAAGTTCATCCTTTTCAATCCTTATTCCAAGTCGATAGTAATTTCCAATTTGATTTATTGCAGCAGCATTTCCTATTTCAGCAGATTTTTGATAATGAATGAATGCCTTATGTTCATCCTTTTCAATTCCTATTCCATTAAAATAACAGTCTGCAATATTATAAACTGCTGTAGCATTTCCCATCTCGGCAGATTTTTGATAATGAATGAATGCCTTATGCTCATCCTTTTCAATTCCTATTCCATATTGATAACAATGTCCAAGGCTATAATTTCCAGATGCATTTCCCATTTCATTTTTATGTTTAAGACGTGAATTTTTACGTAATTTTTTAATTATAGATACTAATGAAACTATTAAAACAATTCCGACGACCGCCGAAACACCAATAATTACATATTTAGTTGTTGATGAATTATCATTATTTTCATTAGCGCTTTGAAGATTTTTTTCATTAGTAGCAACAAAGGTAGCCAATGGTATTTTTTGATATAATAGTAATCACACGGTTGGTATGGATTTGGGCTTGTCTTACTATTAGTCCTCGAGAATGTCTTGGTAAAGTATATCTTTGTACAAATCTTTGTAAAGAATTTTCGGCATCAGCTAAATAATTGTAAAAAGATGGTAAAAATTTTCATATATAACAGAAATGAAAAAAAACATACATTGAGTAATTATCATTAATATAAAAATCGCGTTATATATTTTTGCACAGAAAACCGAACCATCAGTGCAAAATTTCTCTTTAGATAAACAATAATAAAAAAATTTTAACTTTTCAATTTAGTTAAGAGATGGATCAATTCAGAATTTCGTGGTTAGTTCATATCAAACTTAGAAACCTTTCATTATAATCTATATCTAAGCTTTTTTTTTACATGATATTCCAGAAGACTAACAGTAAAGCCCGCATTATTGTCAAAGATTCCGAATTTTGAATAGGTATTTGTTTCACAAATTGTCTTGGAAAAATAGAATTTCTAAACGTACCGATGTAAGACAAGCTTATAAATTATCATTAAGTAGCCTACAGACGCCATTTTTATCAAAGCCATTAATGTAACGTTAAGATTTGCAAAATATTATATTCCTTTTTAGTTTGAAATGAACCTCTGCGTCTGTCATGTGAGTGTGACGATCTTAAAATTGAAGGAAAATGTAGTCTTAAATTTAACGATAGTTACAGT